AAAGAGCCGAAATTCTGATGTCATTGAAAAAGTGCGTACACTGATCATGGAGGACTGTCGTTTGGCCACCCAAAATCACAAAATATTTCATTTCCATTTTAGTACAATTTAATTTTTTCTGATTTAATCTTTAGTCAATTTTTAAATCCTATTGTCCGAGTAGTGCTATCTAGAGCACCTATCTCACACTTTGTTGAACGAATACCTTGAGCTTAGTATACAATTCTAGGCTGAAATGATATCCGTTCAACGCAAAACAAATTTGGCAAGCCTATAGCTCACTTACATGTTTTTTGATCTCAGCTATGATCTTATCAAATTGACTTTCATCTGAATTTAGATCAACTGCAAAGTGTGTGACATATTTTCCTCCAGGGCCAATAAGATATTGTGACATGTTGAGCTATGGATCACCCCTACCTCCCCAGCGGTACGTGGCGGTAACGTAACGCTCGCGTTACTACGGTAATAGGCGAGTTCCTGCCCCGCCACTCCCCTCCGCGGTGACGTAACGCGCAACGCTACGTACCCGTAATCAACTTCCTACTGTGACGTGGCACTCATTACGCAACAGGCAAGCACTGCAGCTATATAAGTGAGCTGCACAGCAGCTACCAGTGAGTTCTACTGTAGCAGTCAGTCAGTCAGTTAGTCCTGGAGCTACCTACGAGTCAGTCCTCGAGCTACGTTAGTTCCGAGTTAGCCAGCAACCAGTCAGTTGTATTGTGGCTTTTGGAGTGTACTAATTGTGATACTGCAGATAGCAGTAATCGTAAATCTGTAATTTGGGTGATTGTAAGAGCGGATGTGAAATAAAATTCGCTACATCAAATACGGCGTGAAGTTATATGTCGCGATATACGCCAGAATGGTTAATTTCTTCTTCCTCACCAACTCTACTGACATATACTTTTTAATTTGCAATTACTTCGTCTATTTTTTCTCTCTCACCGGTCAGCATTTGTATTCTATGGTCGAATTGCTGCTTAAATTCTTTGAGTTTTTCCGTGCTATCGCGTTCAGGGTCAACTGTTATGAAAAATGTTTGCAGCTTCTCATTGGTTTTCTCATCTAGCTTTGCAAGTGTTTCTGAAATTATTCCAAGATTCATAGGACAAATCTTTTTACTTGAAGAAAATCCGAACAAAATCATCATAAACTTATCTTTAAAATCACTACTACGTATGGTCTGTCCGTCTTGATTAATCAAAGAAAAATCTCCCCCTATCTTGACTTCTGCATTGTGAACTACTGCTGGAGTAAATATGCCTTTTTTAGTGAAATAACAATAACCAAGAAAAATGGCTGCTAATGTTATTACTATACTAGATAATAACCTTACAAACTTTAGCATTTAGAGAGCACCCAGTAAAATTAAATTGTATCTTCATTTGTTGACCTATTCAATAAATTTCTTCCAAAGTAGATTGTTAATTGTATCTAACAGTTTCCTATGTTCGTTAATTTCTTCATGACTTGGTGAATGTTCCCTACGAGCTAAGTTACGTACTTTGTGCTGAATGAATGTGGAGCTGTTATCCTGCTCACACTGATTATCAAACAAGAAAATTTGTAACCCTCCTGTGAGCTCAACATACACTTTTGCAAGCAACTGAGCGTCAATTAGTGCTCCGTGTAATTCTCTATCCTCCAGCGATACATCAAAACGCTTACATAATGCACTTAAAGATGCAGGTGACCCTACAAACTTTTATCTCGCAAGTGGCAATGTGTCCAGCACTCTGTGTGAAGAGATTAATCCAGCATCCAATTTGCCCACCTCCATATTGAGGAACTTAATATCAAACTCAGCGTTGTGAATTATCAAAATATCGCTAGATATAAAGTCAAGAAATTCTAATGCAACATCTGAAAATAATGGTTTATCTTCTAAAAATTCTTCACTAATGCCGTGAATCTTAAATGAGTGGTAAGGTATACCTCTTTCCGGATTGAGATACTGATGGAATACTTTACCTGTCGGGATGCGGTTAATTAGTTCCACACACCCTATTTCAATAATCCGGTGACCAGATTCGATATCCAGGCCAGTAGTTTCAGTATCAAGTACTATTTCGCGTAATTTATTTTCCATGTTAAATAGAATTATTCATACTTTACGTTCGTTTTACCATCATCTGCCTTTTTATAGTTTATGGAAGTAAGCAACCAGCTTGGGTTTGATGAAGTAATATTTTTTTTTGAGTTGCCAAATTTCCTCGACTTGATTGATAGTGGATGTGCTACTTGATATAATATCTCCCTTGTCATTCTTAACAAAGTTAATTTGCTCTGAAAGGAAATATACTACAATAAACACTACATTTTTTACTAGTTTTATTTCTAAAATCTTTTGTGAAACAATAGAAACAATTATAGATTCTTGTATCTCTTGTCTGATCTCCTCTGCAAAGTTGTTGTATAAGTCTTTATCCAAGAGAGGTTTTAACTTGGACAGATTTCCTTGATTGAAATACTTTATTATTAATTCGAAAGCTATGCTTGAACCTTCCATTTAATGGGAAACGGAAAAATCTTTATTTTTTGGTAATATTTGCTCATGAGTAGCTTTTATTGAATTTTTGTCGTTGCTATCGATGTAATCTTCAATGTTTTCTACTACATCTTCTCTACTTTGGCTTATATCAAGTTCACTAGTCAGGTTGAGGTTTGTTGATTTTCCTAAAGAATTGTACAACCGTAACAAAACGAATGCCGCTAATAAAGCATATATTACGAGCTCTATCATAGTAACTCAACTCCCTAGCATATAAAGTACCTGAACATTATTAATGAAAATGGCTTATCCTATACCAATCTGTAATTTAGGTTTACTATTCATCTATAAATGGTTATATTATACAAGAAAGTGTTAAATACTTCAACTTAATTATAAGGAGACGTAAAAAATGTCACAACACAAAATGAAAATTCATGGTCAATATATTAAAGATCTATCGTTTGAAAATCTGAATTCACCATTTATCCCTGCAAAAGAGGCTCCCGGTATTAATGTAATGGTTAATATCAATTCAGTGAGATTGCAAGGAGCTGAAGGCGAGGAAGAAGGGAATGAAGAAAAATCTTTTCATGAAATTACTTTGCACATAGAAGCCAAAGCAACGGTAAAAGATGAGAACATAAAAGATGGTATTGCTTTTATTTGTGAAACGAAATATTGTGGTATGTTTTCAATAGAAAACTTTGCAGAGCTAAGTGCAGAAGAGGTAAGGCAGGCTTTATTTATTGGTGGGCCTACTTTTCTTTTTCCTTTTGGGAGAGAAATAGTTGCAAGGGTTACAAGTAGTGGTGGGTTCCCTCCGCTTATGTTAGATCCTATAGATTTTGAAGCTATGTATAAGCAGCAGAGTCAATAACAAAAAAATGCTGTGAGCAATGAGAATTTTAACTGATACGACACTACTTCATCATTCCGGTGTATGAGATGATTTTTTTGCATAGCAAATTAAAAGGCTTCAACGCTTTTAATAGTTAAATCTTTTTAAAGATATTCCACTTATATTACAGCTAAGTTTATAAAAAAATGACAATGTTAATTTCCTAATTTATAAGTAGATTTTTGATATAATTACCAGAGGAGGTATAAAGTTTGATTGAAGTATCAGTTCATTATGATGATGTAGATAGAGCTTTTCCAGTATTGAAATCACAATTCAAAAAGAAGGAAGAGGGATAAAAATGAAAAAGCAATACCATGAAAAGAAATCAGAGAAGAGAGCTAAAAAGAAAGCTGAAGCTAAAAAAAAGAGGGGCCAACAAGAAAGTAGAAGACAGCGTTATGATTGGTAGTTTTTAATAGTTTATCATTGGTTGCTTTATGAATATTCACGAATATCAAGCGAAAGAGATTTTGCGCAAATTTAATGTTCCAGTGCCAAAGGGTTTTGTTACTACATCTGCAGAAGAAGTAGAGACTCAAATGGGTCAGTTAAAGTCTGACGTGCTTGTGGTTAAAGCTCAAATTCATACAGGTGGCAGGGGTAAAGCTGGTGGTGTAAAGCTGGCAAAGTCGGCTGAAGAAGCTAAGCAGTTTGTAAAGTCTATGCTTGGCATGACTTTAATTACTCACCAAACAGTATCAAAGGGGCAGCAAGTAAGGGGAGTATACATTGATGAAGGCTCAAGCATTAAGAAAGAGTATTATTTAAGCCTAGTAGTTGATCCAAAGCTCAGTAGACCAACATTCATATTTTCCTCAGAAGGTGGAATGGATATTGAAGAAGTTGCAAAAAATTCTCCTACAAAAATTGTAAAATTTGATATTGATTATACTGAAGGTTTTACAAGTTTTGATAGCAGCAAATTAAACAATGGTTTTAATCTGAGTTCAGAACAAATAAAAAAATAACAAATGTTGCAAAAAATATATATGATGCATTTATTGCAACTGATGCAAGCCAAATAGAAATTAATCCACTAGTTGAAACAAATTCTGGGAATTTTATTGCGCTTGATGCTAAAATCAATTTTGATGATAACGCTTTATACCGTCATCCGGAAATTGTGGAACTCCGTGATTATGACAAAGAAGTGAAAGAAGAAATAGAAGCTTCAAAACATAGGCTCAGTTATATTAAAATGGATGGCAGCATTGGTTGCATGCTAAAAAGTGCGGGTTTTGCTATGGCAACAATGGATATAATAAAATACTACGGAGCAGAGCCTGCCAACTTTTTGGATGTTGGCGGTGGAGCAAGTAAAGAGACTGTCACCGAAGCGTTTAAGATTATATTGTCCGATAGTAACGTAAAGGGGATTTTGGTAACATATTTGGTGGTATAATGCGCTGCGATATCATTGCAAGTGATATCGTTGAATCTGCAAAAGAAATGAGTATAAAAGTTCCTTTAGTGGTTAAGTTATCAGGTACTAATTTTGAAGAAGGAAAGAGAATCTTAGAGGAGTCAGGATTAAATATTATTGCTGCAGATGAACTTGTTGAAGCTGCACAGAAAATAGCAAAAGAGGTAAAATAAATCATGTCCATTTTAGTAAGCAAAGATACAAGATTAATATGCCAGGGTTTTACCGGCACACAGGGTACATTCCACTCAGAGCAAGCAATTAGCTAAGGAACAAAAATGGTTGGTGGCATAACTCCCGGCAAGGGTGGGAGCACCCACCTTAACTTGCCGGTTTTAATACTGTAGCAGAACTAAAGAAAAAACTGATGAGAATGCCACGGTAATATATGTACCTGCTAAGTTCGCTGCTGATGCAATACTCGAAGCCATAGATGCAAAAATAGAGCTGATAGTTTGTATTACAGAGGGTATTCCTATACTTGACATGGTAAAAGTTAAGCATGCGCTTATTGGTTCAAAAAGTCGATTGATTGGTCCCGATTGTCCGGGGGTTCTTACACCCGAAGAGTGCAAAATCGGAATTATGCCAGGACATATTCACAAGCGTGGGCATATAGGGATCATGTCTCGTTCCGGAACTTCAACTTATGAAGCGGTAGCACAAACAACTGCTGTTGGCCTTGGTCAGTCAACATGCATCGGAATTGGAGGAGATCCTGTTCATGGTATGACATTTGTTGATTGTATGGAACTGTTTTTAAAAGATGAAGATACCCATGGTATTGTAGTCATTGGTGAGATAGGTGGAAACGAAGAAGAGGATGTATCACATTTTGTGAAGACAGAAAAAACTAAAAAGCCAATTATTGGATTTGTAGCTGGTCAAACACCACCTCCAGGAAGGCCCATGGGACACGCTGGAGCGATTATCTCTTCTAGTGGAGGGAGTGCTGGTGTAAAGCTAGAAGTTATGAGAAGTGCTGGTATTGCGATTGCAGAAACTCCTGCAGTAATTGGTAAAAAAGTTTTGGAAGTAGAGAATCAAGTTTAGAATATTGCTATAGAAACCCTACATTACCAGTTATAAATACATCGTCTGCCCATTCAACTAGCAAGTTTCCCCCTTGCGAATTTACAGAAGTTTGCTTAGCAGTCAAATATTTACGAAGTAGGGATACAATAAGTGTTGCACAGGCTGCACTGCCGTATGAGGCAGTAATACGTGTACCTCTTTCCCAAACTCTTAAGTTTATTTCTCCAGACTTTTCAATTTGTTCAATGCTGACATTCACTTTCTTGGGAAATAATATGTGGTTTTCTAACCTTGGTCCTAAGTTTTGCAACGGTGTTTCACTTATGTTATCAACAAAAAAGACTATGTTAGGATTGCCAATATTTACTGCAAATGGATCTTTTAGCATTTCAAGTTCTATGGGTAAGCAAAGAGTGTTACATTCAATGGAAAGAGGGATTTCATGCCATCTAAACAGTGGTTTGCCCATATTGACCTTTATGAACCTACCACCCATCTTGAAGCACTCTAAAATGCGCTCATTTATTAACTCGATTGTTGCATACTTAGTGCTTTTTTCTGACATTATCAAATATCCAACGCAACGTGCTGCGTTTCCGCACATTTCAACTTCGCTGCTGTCAGCATTATAAACGCTCATAAAGCAATCAGCTGTACCAGAATTAGTTATAACTATTACTTGATCGCAGCTGTTTTGGTTAGCAATTTCTCTATAATGCCAATTCAAGCTATTTGTTGAACGTGAGTCTATGATAACAAAGTTGTTACCAGTACCATGCATTTTGATAAAACTTTCAGGACTTTGACCACAATACATAGAAAACTATTTCCTCTATTGGCCTTCTTGTCTTTTCCTTAACTTCAGCGCCCTATTCTTCGTAACCAATCGCTATCACCGACATTACATTAAATCATCGGTTATATTGAATTTTTCTACTATTTTATCACCATCAAAGCCACCCATTTGATGAGCCATTAAATTCATAGATGTAGCCTGTAGCATAAGCGCATAACTTGCTGCACCAGTTTCGTAGCCGCCCCAAAGATTTGCTCCTTTTGTATGATCACGGTAATTTTTAGCGCTTAATACTATGATTAATATTTGTGTGCTTTTTGCCCATCTTTGATTAGGCTCAGTAAAGCAACTCAATAACTTTTCCCATGCATTTTGATTGCTTTGTCTGTTGCATATTACATATCTCCAGGGCTCGTCACCATATCATGAAGGAGAGAGCCGTGCGGCTTCTATCAGCATATTTATTTCCTCTTGATGTACTACTCTATTTTGGTCATATGAATATCCACTATGTCTTACTTTCATTAACTCCATTAGATCTTCTTTATTAATCATTTTTAATCCTCAAAAAAAAACTAACTATATATAGCGGAATATTAAAAAAAGTTTAACCTTTTTGTTTCACATAGGAAACATAATTATGGACAATAAGTTTAAATTGCGAAACTTTTAAAGTATAGTTAGCGTTAGTATATTCTATTTGGAGGAGTATGTTTACAGCACAATATAGCAGCAAATCAACATTGGTCGAAATTTTCTTTTGCGTCTTATTCTTATTTCTAATGACTCAAATTAGAATACCGTTGCCACCTGTGCCTATCTAACCGCAAAACGACATTTTACTCTGTGCTTACATATTTATCACTTGCTACAGCAGAGTTACCCATTTTTGCGGATTTTTCAAGTGGTTATCACACTCTTCTTGGACCAACAGGTGGATATTTAATTGGTTTTTTAGCTGCTGTTATGGTAATGGGCAAAGTAAATGAGTTACTAGACTCTAAATGTGAATCACTTATGCGTAATACTCTAAGTTGTCTGGCTGGCACAGCTGTTATCTTTATCTATGGTGTCAGTGTCCAACGCGTCACAGAGTTCAGTCCCTACAAATTCCAGGCGAGTTATTGCACCTGAAATTGAACAGAAGTTTGACTTTATGTATGCCAGATTTTGTGCTAGAGTGGTAGAGAATAAGACCTTGACAGCTTTAATTGATGTTGACTCAGTGTTGTCAAAGCCATTAAACATTTTCTCAATGGCTGTGTAATTTTCACAATAATATGCCACAGCATCCAACCATATACTCCACCGTGTGACGACAGGCTGTGGAGGAAGTGGCAGTAGAGGAGCTTCTTGTTTAAATTTCTGCACTCGAAGAAGGGCCTTGATGAATATTTTCTTTCCGTTTGAAACTAGCCTATCTACATCAGGAAAATGTCCTCGAACTTCTTCAGCCACTCTATGCAATGCATGAGCGAGGCCAGTAATATGGACCATTTTCGGGTAGAGGATTTGAAGTCCTTTGGCAGCCTTCTTCATGTCTGGAGCGGCATGTGTTATTAGGCGAAGGACGTTATTTCGCTGTATTCCATTTGGTCACAACAATTTCATGGAATTATCAAATATGACAGCTATAGTCGAATGATTTGCTCTTTCGAGAACTTCACAGCCAAGAAGAAATCTCTCTCCAGGTTGATCTTGTTTCAGGGTCCCAACTATAACATTCGCAATATACCGCCCATCTACGTCAGAAGTCTCGTCCAAGGAAACCCATATCTTGTTGTCAGCAACAGATGTTCGAATCTTATTTAACATATCTTCATAACATGTAGAGAGATAATTCTTTCTTAACGTCGATTCACTTGGGATAGGATGACTAGTGTATGTCTCCAAAAATTGTCTGAAGTGCTGATTATGCAATTTCTCTAATGGAATATTCGAAGATACCATCCACTGACACAAATCCTTCGAAAATTCCGACCCATTGTTCGTTGAAGAAGGTGAAGGAGAAGAAGAATAAGAAGAAGAAGAATTAGTGGAACTGTTTTTAAACAACAAACTTTGTCTGCTATCCTTTGTAGATAATCTGCTTAAACATTTACCATGTTTAAAAGTTTTACAATGCTGCTGCACAGTAAATCGCTTTTCTGCCGTAACTTTCACGCCACACAACTTACAATAAAATATCTTGCCATCGGTACTAAACACTTTTCCACCAAACTCCTGTACAAAACTACGCAACTTTGCGCTCCTTGAACTACATGTACTCACTTTAGGCATTGTAAAGTCAAACTGAAGTCTTATAACGCCCTCCACATATATAAATAGAATACTTCTAAGCCCTCCAAGAAAGAATAGGATGTATATACGTATATATATGTATATATATAAGGTACCTTATAGTAAGACGGAGTACAATAGGAGAATACCCGTTACACTTGCCTCCCTCCTGCCTCGACTGGGAAAGGCCGGCTTGCCAGGTCATAAATGCTGCATTTCACAAATTTTCGCCTTTTTAACTGCAAGTACAGTCCAGTC